CCCCCCAACAAACGAAACCGTCCGTAATCGAACGAAAACGAAGGAGAACGAACGAAAACGCACGAAAACGAACGAATCGACGAACCGAACGCAACCACGCCCCCCCCCCCCCAACACATCTGTAGCTCACAGAAGGACAAAGTCATATATCAAGCACACTAGATACTGCATTATTGGAGGTTATTACATATCAGGCACAGGCGCCTGGAGGCGTTACCAGCACCTACCGTCTTCGGCTCACCCTCTCGACGTCAGACCGAGGCAAGGGCTTCCGCGACATCGACGGCGCCCAGGAGGCCAACGATTGGCGGAGCAGCGGCCCCCGAAAGGGCAAAGGCGGCTCGTTCGGTCCGGAGGAGTGGGGAAACGGGTGTTTGGGAGGTTTGGTTCGGAGCAGTGTCCGGAGACGGAGGTTTTTGGGCAGATGGTTCCTTTCCGCATTGGATGCTGCAATGGATTAGTGCTGGGTGGAGAAGTGCGGCCTGAGCGATGTAGAGCGGGTCAGGAAGGTGTGCGAGGGGCTGTGTGCGAACGATCTTTTATTGGATACATTATTTCTGAAAGGCAATCAGTGGTCATCTAGCGTTTAACCCTCAGCATAAATTTTGGTTGAGGAGCCAAAGGACCTTTGGACAGCCTCTCACCTAGGAAGGTAAACCGAAGAAGCACAGTGACTTCAAGGAAGCGGCTCTCATCCCCTTTCATCCATGTTTTCCGGTGTCTCTTGTTTGGCTGTTGAGGAATGTTTCTTCTCTGTCTCCTTTTGATGAATCTCAAACTGCGGAGGTTGCACAGAGTCATGGCCAAACAAATGCCGGGAGTTCGTTCTAATACACTCTATACCCACCAAGTATCCCTGAATTCGAGTGTTTTTGTGAATGGGCATTCATCTTCATCGGTCACGTGGGAACCCAAACAGGACCCTTCTCCACCTGGTTTTTACACCACCCTTTTTACACAGGTGGAGACGACGTTCCAGGCATGTCCTTTGTCCGGAATGTGGGTCGCTGCATGACCCCGGCTGGGAACCTCCTCACCGGTCGCTGGGTGTTTTGGTGAAGCAACTGAAACGACCAGCTACCCCGGTGGTCGAATACAACCCAGTATTGTCCCCAAAAGCGGGAGCTTTCGTGCAGGAAGGTAGCCAGGTATGGACAGTTCTTTTTGGGCTGGACACCAAATTTAGTCAGCAAGGGCAGTCTTTGTGTTGGTTCTTTTGATTCTCCTATCCAAGTGTTAAATTTCTCAAAGACACAGACGTTTGTCAGCAGAAACCAGCCAGTGTTGGGCCCGAGGCAAGGGTGACTCGGAGCCGAGTCGCGCTGACACCGGCGACTGGCGGGGTGGCGGCGGCGGCCCTAGGGTCGGAAGCTGAGCCCGGGGCGAAGCGTTGGGAAGTGTTGGGGAGTTGATTCTTTGGATGATCTATATTTAGGGTCTGCAGTAAACCTGTAACAGTCGGTGAACAACAATGAACAACTATTTGAGAGATGTCGGTGAACAACAAGCTAACCACCATCATCCACTGGGCCGTGGTCATAAGATCTACCCAATCTATCTAAAACAGGTCCAACTGAGGACGCGATTGCGTAATCCGCGATGCAAGAAGCTCACTGGTCACTTCTCCAGGAAGACCGTGGTGGCGGCGGCGGCGGCGGCTTCCAGCGAAGAGAGCGTGAGGACAACACGCAGGCGGGCAATGAGAAAGCGAACACTATGCCTGGCCGGGCCAACTAGTGGATACTATAGGTGGGATGTGACACCCCAAACTGGGGGATGTTGCTGAGTTCTGGAATGCATCCCGGCTGAGGAAGGTTTCAAGCTCGAATTCCAAGAGGTGCATCTAGAATTCTTCCTTCACATCGATTCTCGAAATGTGGTTGCCGAAAAGCATGAAGTTCCACCCCGTGCGCCAGTGACTTGCTGCGCAGGCTGGAAAGGATGAAGATTGGCGAGGTAGTATGGGCCGGCCCCTCAGAAAAGGGTGATTTCTCCTCTCACAGCTGGGGGTTTGGCATGTCCGTGGAGAGAAGTGAGAAGCCCCATCGCTCTTGGGTTCCCCGGCGCTGTGTGCAGCTTTTGGGCCATGAAAGGAACACGGCGGTGCAGCGGTGCTGTTGCCGGATTGGCAAATACGAAGGTGAAGCCAGACCGCACGAAAGGCCCAGCAAGCACTCAGGCTTGGCCACATTCTTGCAGTGACCTCCAAAGCAGGTTGCATGATGTTGCATGTAACAGCCCTCCCCCAAAAAAGGAATTCTTGAATCCACCCTCCTCCTCCTCCTCCGCCTCCTCTTCCTCCCATTGATTTGGAACCCACCCACCTCAGGCCGCCGCGAGGACAACGACCGCGACGACCGCCGCGGTGGCGGCGACCGCTTCGGCCGCGGCGGCTTCGGCGACCGAGACCGAGACCGCGACCGAGGCTGGACGGCGACTGGGCTCGTCGGGGAGTGGAGGGAGTGTGCGGCGAGTGTGCGGCCACAACGAAGCAACTGTGGAGCAACTGAAGCAACGGCCAGTTGCAGAAGCATCGACGAAAAGTCTGAAGCTTTCGACTCTGACTGAACGTCTGTGTGGAAAACCTGTGCCAGGAGGAAGCCGCGCAGATGAAGGAAGCTTGGCCGAGAAAGTCGGAAGGTTGGCAAGAAATCACCCAGACAGGACCGTGTGGCACTTGGTGAACAAATCGCCAGGACGGAAGCACGGGAAAAGGGGGCAACCGTTTGACCTCTTCAGCGCGGGCTACAGCCATCTGTTTTGCGGCAACATGGTCAACTTGGATCCTTCTGGGATCCAAAGGGGCAGTGCTCAGCGGTCGTTTGGACACCCAGCAGCTGCTAGTGCGTTTTCAAAGACTTCGGGTGGTGCAACGTTTCAGGTTTTACTCTGCAAAACAAGGAACCCTGAACCATCTTCGAGCAAGATTCGTCAGATCTGCTGCGGTGCTGAAGAATTGAATATGAAAAGGGATGACCACAGGCTATTTGTACAATCACTTATTCAGATCTGAAACGGAATCATTGCAGAGTAATTCTAGCCTTTGTTCGACCATTCTGCAGGAGGATATACCTCCCAATGCCAAAGCTTTTGAACTTTGAACCTCAAATCGGCTATAACCGTCATCTCTGCCCCCACCCCCCTTAAGCCCCTCCTTTGAAGCTCCTTTTGAGCCCTAGGCGATTGGCGTCGTGGCGGCGGCGGCGGTGGCGGTGGTGGTAGCGAGCAGTCGCAGTCGGAGCGGCCGAGATTGAATCTGAAGCCTCGATCAAAGCCAGTGCCCAGGTTAAGACAGAGACGGTTTTGAGGTTTTGACTTCACGTGGGGCGCTTGGTGTTTTCTCGGTTGGTTGACCCTCGGTTGGTTGAGGTTTTGGTTGGCAAAGAATCATTGTTCAAGTGAGGATGAAGGTGAAACCGTTTTGGGACTACAGTAATCATGATCGATGACTCCCCGCGGCTTGACTAATCCAACCGGATCCATCAAACCTGGGCTTTCCAATCAATTCCAAGTCAATCCGAAGTAGTCACATCATGGATCCCGACACTTTGGCTCCATGATCTTAGCGTGTCGAACTAGGCTACCCGCTTGGGTGGTTGTATCTGCTCAGGAGTCAGGAGTATGCTCGACTAAGACCACACCCAGAGCACACCGCGGCAATGAAAGGGACTGGACTCCAACTCTTCCCGGCGGAGCACCGAAAGAGATCCACCGGAAGTACCCAACAGTGGTAGACTCTTGATTAATAAACCCCCCATATGCAGAGGATTTTCCACTTCAAGTGGTGGGGTTATTAATCAAGAGTCTACATTACATTGAATAAATTAGCACTAGGCCGTGGGATTCTCTTTTTCTGTGAACCAAGGATTCATGCAAGGTTGTCTCAAGGTTCTCCAATTTTTGAGAGCTTTGAGTCATACCCAAATGGCATTGTTCCCCCACAGGAAGTTTGCAGCTACAGGAAATCCTTACTTTAGCATACTTTAGCATTTTTTGGGGTCTTCAGTCTTCTGTTCTTTTCTTCATGTTCAATCTTAAAGGACCTTTACATTTGTTCCGGTTTTGGTGGAACAGCTTGTTGGTGCAAAAATGGTTCAGTTCATAGAAGACCAGATGCTGCGACTGACATCGATCGGTCGATCTCTGAATTCTCGGATTGTGCCTTGGCCACCCTCCCCGCACCACGTGGAGCGGAGCCCCTTTTCTCCACGCCGGCCGCGCTCGTCGAACTCCCCCGTGAGTGACGCAGGTCGACGGAGCGGCGCCCGCGGGGAACGAGGTGGAATGCCTTCGAATGGCTTGCGGGGGAAGGGGTGCGAGCTTGTGGGAGCTGATAGGTTTTCCATCCACTGGTTTGACAGAGTATTTAGATTTTTGAAGCGGTGGAAGGTGGAAGAATGAACAGCCTGTAAGAAGATAGGGCACACATTTGCCCATATTATGAATTTTATGTATGAATATTCGAGCAAGTTGACTGAAGGGACAATCCATGAACATCCTTTCGATCTGTTTGTCTCATTTCATGAATATGTCCAGTTGAAAACGATGGTTGACCAACAAAAAATGACCAAGAACCCACCTCTGGGCCGCTTGAAGGCAAATCAGAGAATAGAAGAGGAGGACCGATCGCCGCATCTGGGGATCCGACGTGCACACCCTGCGCTTGGTGGCGGGTGGTGACCAGGTCACCGTGGTGGGTTAAGTTTTCGGGCACGCCTCAGTGACGAAAAAAGGTAGAAAAATCACCAACTGGCCGTGACTTTTGAGGAAGAAAAAGAGATAATCAGCTTTTGCAGCTAGATGACATGTTGCATATCTCGCTGGCCCAATCTGGTGGGGATGCGAGGGATTTCGGGGGTCCGGATCTCCTCCGCCAGCAGGAGAAGTCTGAAGAAAAGAAGCCCGCACTAGGTGGGAATGTGCTGGGGGCAAATCTCTTCAAGACTTGAGAGTTGGTAGACCCATTTGCGACCCGACGCGCATGAACAGTTTTGCTCATTTACAACCCACATGGGGTTCTTTTATTCATCAACAGTCTACCCAACTTCCCAACTTGCCAGTCCCAGCGACTGCGCATGGCCCATCAGCGTTTCCTGGAACCCGGAGTCCTTGTCGCTCAACCCCTGGGCTCGCCCAAGTGGACGGAACCTTCTGTGAAGACTGGCTTTCTCCAGCGACCAACTGCGACTCGACCCGGGCTTGGCTCAGACCAGCATGTAGCTGCTATTGGAAGTGATCATTTAAAAGGCAGTGGAAGATCAACTATGATGCGTGAAAGAACACATCCTTTAAAAACCGACGTGTGGCCTTCATCGGCCTTCATGGCCTTCATGTGCAGGCGGCGGAGGTGGAGGAAAGTACGTTCCTCCAGCCCAACGCAAGGCCATGGAAGAGGAGGAGGCTCGGCTTTTCTGCTCCCGTCAGGCCTCGAGGCCCTCGGCTAAGCCGGTGTCACGCCCACGCGTGACCGCCGCCCATGAGCAACCGGCGTGGGTTTCCATGAGCAACCGGCAGCTGTGAGGACGACCAAATGGGAGTGTGAAAGAAGGCCTTTCTGTCTTTGGGTCGAGTGTAGCTCAGTGAGGCTTTGTCCGTCTCGAGCAAGGTGCCAGGAGGCTACATCTTGTGAGCTTGACAGGAGCTCCTTACATCCAAACCTACCACGTATACGGATATTTGATGATATTTTATGATATTGATGGGAAAGGATTGCCAGCACCCGGTTCACTTGCCAGCCTGGTTTGGGATCTACCCGACTCACGCAGTCCTTTCGCTGTGAGAGGCCAAGAGGAAAGAGATGGAAGAGCGCCGCAACCGGCAGCGAGAGCTGGATCGACAGCAGGAAGAGGTGCGTTTCTGCCGTCGACATGGTTTCTGCAGCCAGTCTGGGACGCTCTTTTTGAGGCTCTTTGAGGTTTTTTGTTCAAGCTGAACTCAAACAGGAGTGTGTAGCTCAAACAGGAGAAATCACCCCCAGGCAGCAATCACTCACCCCCCCGCTGGGTTCGGTGAACGGAGAAGACCTCGACCCGTCCGCTGGGACCCGACTGGACCGCTCCGAAGGAAAAGGAGAGGCGGCGTGAAGAGATGCGAAGCAGCTTTGGCCGACGGGAAAACAAAAACAGCGGAGGCATTTCCACTTTCACCTTTCTCTTGGACATTTAAATCGGAGATGAAAGGTGTATGATGGGTTGACAGTTGTGGCTTTGCAGATGGTTTCGGTTTGACAAACCCACTGAGTCAGATTGGTGCAGGGAAAGTGCAGAAAGTGCCACTGTTGCTGACTTTATCACGGTCATTCATCCACTGTCGCCGCCTTTTTGATGCGAAAATCCGATGGCTGGCCAGCGTTTTGGGCATCTAGCAGCCTAGCAGAGCACGACGACCCTTGGAAAAGCTTCCCACGTCGGACCTCGGTTGCCCCGGTTCCGGGTCGTCCGCAACCGTCCACCTCGCGCCCGGCAGCCCCACGGGGCCACGGAACCTCAGGTAAGCAGAGGGCCGAAGAGGAGCGAAGACAGCGCGAGGAGGACGCGAAGAGAGAGAAGCGCGAGGCGGAGGAAGCCAAAAAGGCGGGGGCCAGTTTGGCCGTTTGGCCTGGGATGCGGGGTGTTCGTTGATGACCGTTTGGGATTTGGCGGATATGGTTGAATCCATGTTGATGCTTGGGAAAAGGTCGTTCTGGAAGATTGATTTTTTCTCCTTTGTTGCTTCAACCGGCAAGCCAATACCTCCAACAATCACTTGAGCGCGCTGGACTGGCTCAGGATGTTGACCGGATTCAGGACTTACGAACGGCAAAAGATTGCTGGACGGGATAGATCTTCAGTGGCCATGTTGCATGTAGAGCATTGAAGAAAGGTCTTCCTGGCCCTGCTCTTAAGGGGCGGTATTCACTACTACCTTTTATGGCAGGCATGGTGTGCTTTGGTGATGAACTCATCCACAGCCAATGGCGCCATGTTGCCACGTTAGGCCGAGGCTGAAAAGCAGCGGAAAATGGAGATGAAAGCCGCCAAGGAGGATTGGCCAAAGGGTGGATCGAGGGGCGGCAAGTCTGACGGGTGGTACTCAGACGATGACATCACTTTGGATCCAAGCATTTTCTGGAGAGGAAACAGGGATTGGGACCACCACATGTATCTGGTGCTGACACTCAGGTAGCTTCCTTGGGTGCGAAGCAACCGTTCTAGGCGAAGCGACTGTTCTAATTCTAAGATCGGTTGAACCTTGAGCCCATCCAAACTACTACTAGGAGAGTAGCCTTTTCAAACTTGCACGCGAGTCAGTCTCCAGATCAACAAGAAGCTTCTCCCAACTTCAGCTTGAGAACTGTTTTGGAAGTCAAGAATGCACTTGGGTATATACTATATACATATATATCCTCGCCAGCATGTTGACAAGCAACTGCAGATTCTTTGGAGGTGAGTGAGCCACGGACCCGTCGCAAGGCTGAGGCTAAGGAGAGGAGGGAGGCCTTGAAGAGCGGCTTGGCGGACAACTGCAAAAGGTTGAGTGCGACACCCAAAGGAAATCGCCTGAAGAACACCAGCAACTCTTGGGGAACCAATTCCATTTGGAACGATCGATGATGAACATCTGGGATTTGTCTTGGGGAGAGGGGTATAAACATGTACTGTAAGCTCCATGATTCACCCCCGCGAATTGGGGGCAAGGGGGTCGAGATGTATTCAAGATGAAGTTGAATCGATCCTTGCAAGCCTGCCCGGAACTACTGATCGTTAAAAGGCAACAAAGAGTAGAAGAGTAAAAGCCACGTGTTCCAAGAGTGAAGGTCAAATCTGTCGTTTTTCGCCCGTTCGTGGCTCCACATGAATGTCCAATCTGTGACTTTGTCAAGACAGTTGTGACCTCCAACTGTGGTCAAAGCAAGTCAAAGCAAGATTATCAAGAACTTCACTTGCCCCAACAGGCAAAATGAGTTGGGAGTTGAGGGGGCAGACAAAGCGACAAAGGTCCCCTCCAGCAAGTTTCAACACTTATAGTTGCAGGTTTGCAGCAACACATCTGATGTTACTTCAAGTTTCGTTATGTCCTCCAACGCTGCAGCCGGATCAGCTTGGGATCCTCCCCTCCTTGTTCAGCCCACGTCAAGGAGCAGAATGTCAATCTGACATGCTTGGGTGTGTCCATCGGACTCGACCCACCTGTTCTTCCTGCCCTTCTTTGGGATCTCTACCATGGGAACTCGAAATCCAGAGTCAGACCTTTCTTCCCACCGGCGCCACCGGCACCACCGGCACCGCGAGTCAAGCGACGCCGAGGTGCCAGCCAAGCACAGAAGAAGGCGTCCCAAAGCTCGGGCAAGAAGCAGGTGGGCGCGGCTGGGCGCAGCGCCTGCCGCAGCGGGCCCAAAAATAGGGCGGGGACGGTGTCCGCAACAACCGGAGAGACTGTCAGATACTGTCGGCATACACTTGGATCCAGTCACTATAGTCCTTTTTGGATCTAGAAGGGATCTGTGGAAGGTCAAGTATGCAGATGGTTTGAAAATGGATGTAGATGGACAGATGCCACTGTGGTAAAACAAAGAAACCCGTTCCCCAAGTTTTACATCTCTTGGATTTGTTTCTTCAGTCCAAATGGGGATCACCATTTCACGACATCTCTGGGCGGGAGGGAAGTCTTGTAGGATTTTTCATTTGACTCGGCTGGTGGGTGGGACCAGCTTTGACCAGCTAATCAATCTCTGACTCACGAGCATGGAAGTGGGTGGCATGGTCCCTTGGAAGACTACTTTCCCTCTGCAGTGGGTTTCTCCACTTCCATGTAAGTGAGTCTGAGATTGGTTTCTTCTACCAGCTTCTTGTTACTAGTAGCTTCTTGTTCCTAGTAGTAAGGCCAGGAGCCCCGTTCGTAGCGTCCGATCGCTCCTAGTATCGAGCCCCGTTCGTAGCGTCCGATCGTTACTACATCCTTCTTCCCTTCTCTGAAACAGACACGATGCAGGTCTTCGACACATCCAAGATTGACGGCTTCGTGGACAGCTGCGAGGAGGTCGTCAAGGCGTGAAGAACGGTAAACGGGCGACCCTACGGGTGACTTCGCCGCCCACCGGATGGCGGGTGACTTCCACGGGTGGTTCAGAACGGTTTTCCAGGCAGGGACGTTATTCTTTTTGTTGGAAAGACGGATGGTTGGCCGATGATGAAGGCCTAGTTAGTTGTTTGATGTTGATCATGGTTCTTGTAGAGGTGCTTGTCCTCCAACTAGGGCATTTGCATGTAGTCCTACGTGTCCTACGTGTCCTTCGTCGAACATATATATATAATTATATATATAATATAACTTACTGTAACAATATACAATATATATATATATATATATCACCTACTTGGGATAGACCTTGTCCTCGCGGCTCAGAACGGGATTCCCAACCTGAAGATTGACATGTGGAAAGGACTCCAAGTGCTCTTCTTAGCAGGGTTGGCTAATCCAAGGAAGAACCCTGTAGATGTGGCAGACTAAGCAACACTTCTTCACACTGAACACCCTGCACAACTTATGCCTGCACAACTTGCTGCAAGTTAACTGCAGTGCCAGCCCAAAATTCCTGGAACACAGGCTTTCCGCTCAGTGTTTGCCCATCAACAGTATTTGTCGCATCGCTGCCACGCGCTGCTTACCAACATCCACTTCAAGGGTTGGTAGGGGGGGCAGAACTGTTCGTGGCTTGTCAAGAGGTCCTCAGGATGTTCTGACTGATATTTGTTGATCGCTTGGGGGGCTGTGGATCCACTCTCAGTGTTGACAACAGAGTGGATCCGCTTCTCACTTGGATGCGGATATGGATTGCTGGCAGGATGGGATGAGTGAAACATATTCAAGTTTCTTTTTTTTCACCGCTGCTCAAGATAGAGGATGTGTCTATCCCACTCAGGAACCTACTAAATGCAGGTCTGACTCTGACTACCGGTTCTCATTCATTAGCTAATATTTTCCAAGCACGTTGAGCTCCTCAACAATATGATCTCTTGCAGATCCCCTCCCCACACAACTACCAAGACATTTTCGAGCAACAACCATCCGCGGGACCAGGAGGAAGGGCCGGTGGAAAAGCTTGTTGACGAGGTGGGGTTGGACACAGCAGTTGTGTGAGGGAGGTGTTTGCCTTCACCCTCAGGCATCTTCTGTGCATTGCCCTGAGATAATTGTCGCAGCGTCTTCCTTGTGGGCAAAGAAGATATTGGGCAGTGTCACCTCTTTCGCGAATAGCAGCATTCGTTTACCAGGTTGTTGTGTACAGTCAAGCTTTTTCAGGGGCCGGCACCTGCATGCCCTCAAAATGTTCACTTGCCAGACGGAAAAAGCACTAGTCGTTGGTAAGCATGCCCAAAAGCCTCGTTGGCAGCTTGACGAGCTGCTCTCTGAAGACGAGTGGAGCACCGTCCAGCCCATTGCGCGCCTGAATGAGATGCTGTTGCAGCACTGCAGGGGCAAGCAGGACGGACCCACCGGAACCGAACTCCCTCACGTCGGAACGTGCCGCGGGCACGGGGCGAGGGAGGGGCACGGGAGTCCCGGACCGGCAGACCGACCTTTCTGATCTCTCCCAGGGGATACCCTGAGTCAAATCTGAGTCCAATCAGTCTGATCAAGACTCAGTCTCAGATCTCCCAGTCATGTGTGTTTGTCAAATCTGACATGCTTCGTCCAACAAATCGGGCGCCCTATTCGGATCCTGGTGACGGCGCACCTTAGAGCCTGTAAAAGAGCAGTATAAGCCAGTAAGCCCTATTTTTTCGTTGTCATTTTCGGCCTGAAGGCAGGCTGAGGTTCATCTGCAAAAGAAGGGGTTCGAACTCTCCACTGATGGGTTGACATAGGCTGGATTTGTTTGGTGCAGGAGATCCCTATGTGCCGATACCCTTCGAATCGTATCGATTTGTGTTTCCTGCTGTCCTGCTCGCGGGTGGGCTAGCCAGCTGCGTCACCCACATGACTTACTGTAAGAGTCCAACCCTTGAGCACATAGATCGAGCCTCTAAACACATGCAACTTCGCCGCAACAGGATGAACTGATCTGGCAGGAAGAACTTCTCACAAACCATCCACACCTTCAGTCTGCGATAAAGACCCCAGGTTCAGAGGGGTCCAATTCGGGGTGCATCGGAGTAAAGCAGCAACTCCGACGGGGCTCCCCTCCGATCCTGCGAGTCTTCAAGTGACCAGTGACCCACCACGGCCCCCCCCCCCGCGCCGCCCACGGACACGTCACGTCGACGTGAGGACGAAGAGGTCTTCAGCATTGTACAGACCTGGGCCCCGATGCTGAACTGCAGCTTGGAGACAGTCTCAAGTGGGGAGTTCCGTGCTGGTCAGGGTTCCGAGCCAACACATTTGATGTATTAATGTATGGTGGGAAAGCTTTGCTGGCCACAAGATCTTGAAACCCTGTGGTTGTTTTGGCATTGTCCTTTCCTGGTCCTGCTGATGCTGTTGGGTGCTTGGTGGTGGCTGCTTCCTAGTTGCCAGCCCAGCATCACCTACAATGAAGAATGGAGACTTTGAGAGCCACACCTTCTCAGCTTGTGCATTTAAGGTATTGCCTCAACAAGAATCGAAGTTTGAGTCGGATTTGGATTTGATTCAGGCATATATATATATATAGTCCTCATTCCTGACTCATGAGATTGCGTCTTGCACACTTCTCCTTGGGCGACAGGTCCTTCGCGCCGCGCCGTTGTCGTCGTCGACATCGGCACCGCTCGACTGCACCTGTCAGGTCTCATTGAGAAGGCAGGCATCCACCGCTTCAAGGCCGGAAAAGCCGAGTCGGGACCGGAGTCGAACTCCCCGGTGGCGAAAAGCAAATCCTTTCGAAACACAGCGCACTGAATGAATCTACAGGATTTTGCCAGCACAGGCGGTAAACAGGAGGTCCCACCCAAACACAGGTTCTTTCTAACTTCTCCTAGGTGAGACCTCTCCCGAGCCCGGTCATATACTGTGGCGCGTTTTTAGCTCAGCGGTGACGTGGGCGTGTTGCGAGCGCTTGCTTGGCATGGCAGGTGAAGGTGCTCATTGAGGCCCAGCGTGCGGCCTCCAAGATGGGCTTGCCAAGGTGCGCTCCGCGGGAACTGGGGGCGGTGAGCACCGGTGTGCGGTGACGTGCCTGTTCGGTGTGCGGGGACAAGCTGGGGTGGGAGGTGGAAGAACGCTGTGGACAAGCTGTGTCTGTGTTCGTGGTGTGGGAGTGGAGGTTAGGGTTGTAGATGGGTCCCATTCCCAGCCAGAAAGGTCTTTGCTGCTCACCCTCAGCATCTACTGTTGCTGGTAGTAGATATCTTCGCTTGACACTGGCACCAGGCTGTCTCCTGCGACCGCCCTCCTCGAAGCCTTCTTCGACGGCCTCTACAGGGCAGAGGCGAAACATGGCAACGCATCGGGCGGAGGCATAAACCATATCATGAAAGTCAAGTTTCCCTAAACATCTAATGAACCAGAGCTATCCTGTGTAGCTAGGAGCGAACTTCTCCCTTAATTAAGTAGGTGCCCACTTACTTAAGTAAGGGCGGGCAAACAAGAGAGGGAGAAAGCCCCAATGGCCAAGCAGGCTGAAAAAACCCACCCGCTTTCAAAAGGGTGTTGCCAAGCTGCATGTGTCCCGGGGTCAAGGGCCGAAAGGGAACTTCACTCGTCCAGCCCAGCTTCTTTGCCCACTCACCGTCTGATTTCGTTGTGTCCCGTGGGCATGGTGCCAACCCCCTGCCCGACACGGCACGTGCAAACCAACGTGCGTTGGCCAACTCAGCCAAGCAGGTCATTGAGGAGGATTACTTCGAGATGTGGGCGGTGGGTGATGACGACACGGCCGGGAAGACGTCGGCCATGTTCCAAGTCACCGCGTTCCTCGACTGGCTCCGTGGCAAGATGGATGAGGACGAGGAGCAGGAGATGGATCCGTCGGGGTGGGGGGGGGAGTCCGGTGGATCCGACATGGATGTGTGGATGCGTTCTTTTTTGGACGTTGATCTGATTTGACGTTGGACTTGGGTGAGATCTGGAAGGATGGAGGGAACTCTGATGATGCGTAGATGAGAACGCCTTGAGGAGGTTCCCACCCTGAGCTTTGCAGAGCCTTGGGGTGGCGATGGACGTGTTTGTTTGCACTGCATCAGGAGGGAGAAGGTGAGGAAGAGGAAGATGAGGACGATGACGAGGAGGAAGAAGAAGAGGATGTAGCTTGGGCAGGAGAAAGATGAGTAAGGCTTGATGTAAGGCTTGAGTTCAGGAAGTGTCTTTTAGAGAAATCACCAACCCTCGACGCTTTCAACGACGTCCAACGACCGTGGAGAGGCGGTCTGCATGTCTTTTGGTCCGTTTCCCAAGGCTGAAGGGGACTCACTTTCGAAGTCATCTGCGGGTCACAAAAAGGGGTTTTAGTGGTTTTGAGTGTCCAATGTGCAATACGTCCTTGTGAACACTTCCACCTAGGCTTAGATCGATATGCAAGGCCAAAGATAAATGCCTCTCCTCGGTTCATAGTTCATGAGGGAACACTTGGACTAGACATCCGGCACTGGCAGTTTCCTGACAACTTCCTTTGACAAGGAGCGGTTGAGGGCTGCTCTTTGGACGGGGCTGCCCTCTGGTGCTCAGGATATTGAGGCCAACGTGCCAACCACCAGAAGAAAGTGAGGCGCGAGCTGAAGATTTTGACGAAATTGGTCCTAAGTCTAGTGTTGTTATTTTTGTTTTGCCCTCCAGTATCAGTTCTAGTATCAGGGCTGGCACGCCCGCCAGTTCGCGCTCCCTGATACTGGGGATTTTCTGATACCAGGTGACTTGGCAGTAGCTCAACTGGACCCGGCCAATCGATGTTTACACTCTGACGAACACATCACATGGAAGTGGCTTGCACCATGTGTTTGGCTTACACTCGATTCTTCGTCTTCCAAGTGACCAGAAAGTCCGCGTCACCATGTGATGTGTTCGTCAGAGTGTATTCCTTTTCGCGAAGGAACGACGCGACCCGACCCAATAGCAACGAAGGAAGGACCTGATGGGGGATGACAGGAAGCACAATAGGGATGGGCACCAAGAACTCTTAGGAAGCATTCAACTTCTCATATGTTCGAACTCAATGCTATGACAGTGACCAAATCATGGAAGTTGAAGGGCACCCAAAGCTCAAGTCTTTTCGTCTTTTTCAGGATGCAGGTGACCCGTGGGGCCACACCATCGAACTCAGAGGGAAACGGGCTCCACACGCATCAGACACGCGCTCACACCACGCGCATCAGACACGCCTCAGAACCGCCAGGAGCCACCGATGGGTGACAACCGGACGGGGGTCAGAAGTTTGCACAGTGAGCATCAGGACGCATCAGCAACAAGATCAAGGTATGCGAAATAGGGCTCTTGGTTCGCTTACAGCCCCCAAAACCACTTCTTGGGTCTTGTATACTCTTGGTTGGTGCGTAGAACAACTTATTGAACCAGGCAACAATAACAACCTCTTCGATCTTCATTCTTCGGTTTGCACCTATTCGGTCCAGATTTCTCTTCCATGTGCGGAGGAGAGGTCACATGGGTGAGACGCTGATGCCGGCCCACTCCACGAGCCAATCGTGATGATGTTTCTTATTTATGGTCGCTGGTTTCAGTAGGGGACCAGACTGAAGAGAACCTGAGGAGGCAATCCTTCGAACAACACATGCAAAGACCTTCACTCTTCAGTAGTGGAGTTTCTTTCTGTGAGATCCTCAGAGTTCCCAAGTGATTCGGGTCACCAACGACCTGGCAGGGTCACCCACGACCACCTGCGGTTCGAGAAGCGTGGGGTAGGTCGTATGGTAGGTCCCTACCTCGTGCAAGGTTGGTTTCCACCTGTGGCCACCTGGTGAAACCCCAGAGTCTTTCACATATCCCTTGCTACAACGCCCTGTGGTTCATCTGCAAATGGTTGGCTTGAAGTCATCGGTCTTCAAAGACTCAATCACCGGCTAGTACTTGGTTCGTCGAGGCACTACAGATGCACCCCTTGAACATCAACGCACCACGATCGGCACAAATGTGCAGGCTCCCTCGCGCCATCTCTTGCGCAAGGTGCGCGGAAAACGACGCGCGGATGAGAGCGGCCGATGACTGGCAAGACTGGAAAGGGTGTCAGAAGTAAGGCCAGTGAGAGAAATATAACAATGGGTCCAAGTAAACAGGTAAGAAGCCCACGTGCAACAATGTCGCGCAGCCAAACCAGCCAAACCAGCAGCCCGTCTCACCGCAACCAAGAAGAAGAGCACCCGACAGTCCCAGACGCAACAAACCAGAGCAACAAACCAGAGCAACAATCGAACGAATCTCTTCAGCCGTGAAGGATCTGCTCCGCCACAATGGCGGAACGCGGAACTACTCTGTGTCCAATAGTCGTAGTGTCCAGCGGCGAACGCCGCGGCGAAGGTCGCCACAGGCCACAGGCAATGCTTCCGGAGTGGGACTCAAGGAATATATGGTGGAAGAGTTCTAGCACCGACTTTGCAAGATTAGCAGAATCCTTGTGCTTGGGAAAGCAAAGGGACAAGGCTACAAGCCATTAGAGGGATCCATTGAATTGGTTGGTGGAAGAAGTGACTACCCTTTTCCTCTCCCCAACATACATGTACTGCATTGACATGGATACATAGCTGTCGATTCAGGGATCATTCTCAGCTTTCGGTTGGTGATTCCCTTCAAGTCCGACCCGCAGATCTCCACACGCCGCTGTTGATAGGACCACAGGCCGCTGGACGTGCGTTGGATTGAAGACATGGACATTGACTTCTTGTTTCAGGTCTAAGAGGGCATGATTGAGGTTTCTTGCAACTTCCTCTCTTTGCTGGGTTCTTGATGCGGAAACGATCAAGCAAATCGGATCCTCCATAGTTTCCTCCAGTTTGTTGGGTGCGCCAATGGGCAAACTGACACAGAATGGAGGAAAAATGAGGTAGTCTGAGTGGGTTGCCAGACAGCATACACCTTGAAGGGTCCCTATGTAGCTTCCAACACCCAACTGGACCATTGCAGACCCCAAATTGGGCCCCAACGGCCGCATTGCGGGCTTAATGAATGCGTGTGGAGAGTGTGACTCCCAGTGGCCCAGAGCTTGTAAGCGGCCGGCTGGGGAGTCTGCTCCTACGGACGACGCAGTCCGTGTCGAGGACGACCCCTCAAGAGTGAAAGAGGCGCTTCGACCTGCGGGAAGTGCAAGTGCAGGACTCGCACAGAGATGATTTTGCCTTCGGGCTAAATGGGCAAACGAATGAGGACCACTTGAACATCAGCCATTCTGTAGCCATACGAAAGGGACGTTCCAGACATCCGGCTTGCCCCTGTCACCAATGTTTTCCTGGTGTCCCATGCACAGCTCGTGGCTTGTGGATTGTGGAAACGGATTTCCAGCTACGGGTGCCAGTTTGGTGGGCCCAGATCCCTTTCTGGAGGTCGTTGGAACCCCTTTCGAGGTCCTGAACAAGTGATGAAGTCAAGTCCACCCCTTTCGGAATTGAAGAGATGAACTTCACTTGGTAGAGGTTTTGATGGACTGGATTGGGATGCCCCAAAAGACCTACCCCGTCCTTTTTTCATGCAGATCTGACTCGTCCGGTCCAAGAAATCTCTGTGATTCAACGGGAAGGCCTTCCCGGAGCGAAGTGAAGCGCTCCGGTTCGCCTGGCACCGGTGTCCACCGCTTCGCCCCACGAACCACCACCACGACTACTGCCACTGCCACTACCACCAACACACTTTCATCACACAAAGTCAATCGGGTCAACTGGATCAACTGGGTTCAGCCGGGTGAACTCAGTCAACCGGGAGACCCTGTTCAACTGGGTCAACCGGGTCAAACGGGACAGCGCATTACCAGCCCCCTACACCGACGCACTCTATAAACGTCCCATGAAAAGCTGAACGTGTATCCAATGCCCTGATGCCAAGGCAGACGACGGTGTCTGAGGCTTGCGAAGCTTTTGAGTGAGCGAGAAAATCGAAGCCCAGCTGTCATGTGGACGTGGTTTATGAAGAAGGCATTGGTGAGTCTGAACCGACGTCGCTGGTTTCTTCGACGACCCGCGACGGACTAATGGGGAGAGTGTGCTGAGGTGGGAAGTAGCTGCTTGTGGGGGCTGCACTAGGGGAATGGACGACACACCTACGCCTGCAAGAAGAAGTTGTGAAAGATAAGGGTTTGTCACGACGAAATCGTTCCTTGTCGAGCAACCTGATCGCCAGCCACGGCTCAAAGACAAAACACTCGGTACTGTACCAGCTCGAGCGTGAGCATCTGCCTCCGCCGATGGAAAAATGGTAAAGGAGGACACCACTGACCCTTGGTAAGGTTTAAGATGACAAATGCAAATGCCGTGGGTTCGCTCTCGTTCTCTCGCTCTCTCTCTCTCTCTTTCTCTCTCTCTCTCTCTCTCTTTCTCTCTCTCTCTCTCTCTTTCTTTCTTTCTTTCTTTCTCTTTCCCTTTCTCTTTCTGTTTTTCTTTCTCTTTTTCTTGTGGCTCGGTAGCATGGCAATGATGATGCGCTTTGATCAAGAAGGGTGGAACATGTTTTTCTGCACCAGCACCTGCGTATCCAGCAAACATGCAACATCCATCTCCACTCAGTTTTTTTCATGATGCCGGGGCATATCAGTTGGGGTCTCGTCTGCCAATGGTGGATTGTTTCCTGAACAGTCCGAAGGAATTGTCGGTGTTAGAAGGACCTCCTCACCCCGCACACAACGTCACACACTAAGCGCGGGCTTTTGGTGGTGACTGCTAGTCAGATTTGGACAAAAACAATACGTCCTACAAACCTTTCCTTCAAATGCACCTTGGCCTCCTACTCACCTCCTACCAAGAAACTTTTTGCTCCAAACCGTGTCCTTTTCTGGGTACTTATGCTTGTCCGCCATCCAGTGGCATCCACTGGGTGCTCTCGGGTCTCCCTGCGGCTCCTCGTCGTTTCGGCCTTCGACTGCTGAGGACATGGAGGATCCTGAGAAGAATGAGACGACTGGAATCGCCGCAGGCGACCACAAATCACCCAAGCAGCGGCCCCCGCTTCTCTTCATTTTTTTGTGTTGTTTTAGAGGCGGATGTTTATTTTTTTTCGAGGCGGATCGGATTTGTCTTAGACAGGGCGTAACTGGCCAGGCATCTTTAACCCAATCTCTGAAAGAGACCCGGTTGCAAATACAACAGCTACCCGCTACCCTGGCATTGTACCAAAAATGCACATCAATGCTGTGCAAAAACATGTACTGAGGTTTGTTCTTGCCAATATATCATGGTGACATTTGTTCCCATGATTTGCTCAATACTATGCTAAAACGGTCATCGGGTCCAGAGTCCCAAATCGGGAGGAGGACACCGTCTACGTCCCAGGCCCTGCTCCAGCCTCCTACGCTGCGACCAAGCAAGAGGTGGCAGAGGAGGAGGACACCGATCGTGGCTGGGCGAGTTGGTGCACCCCCAATGTGGAATCTGGATCAACAACCACCCATTTGGATGCACAGACTTGTGGGCACGCTCCCACACCATCCCTTGCCCACAGCTGGGGCGGGTACAGGTGGATTGTAACACAGACAATCCAGGTGTGCCATTTTGGACCGTGACCAGCATGAGGTGCTCAGTGCCATTTTCCGAGCAAACCATGAAACTGACCATACA